TAGTAGTAATAAGAGGAACATACTGTGAATATTTTGAAGTTAATGTCTTAAAACACAAAACTTCAGTAAATGTTTTGTGAAATGTGCTGTGCACATGTACTTGCACTCCATCTTGGTGAAGCTGAAGAAATAAATAAAAAAAAAATTCTTAATCACATCTTGCTTTCATAGAGCTTAACAGCATCTGGTATTTTACTTTCTTCCTCAATGTTAGCTGCTTTCCATTAGACTGTGGCTCTTAAGAATTTGTTCTGTTGTGTCAAAAAGGCAAATCTGACTGTTAGGAGATGTGCAGGAAAAAAAACACCATGCTATATATTTTCAGTACGGCGATTAAGTCCCCCATACTGGTTCCAGATACAGTTCACTTGTATTTCAGGAACAAAAGGATTTGATACCTTGAACAAGATCAAGAATATCATAAACTTCAGAAAACAAAAAAGAGGCAGATCTTTTGAGTTATATTATAAGATCAGTAATAGATACATCTTCCCTGTCTCAAATCCAACAGGGTGCACCAAACAAGTCCCAAAGGAACTGACTGATGAAGGCAATGCACATACTGCAAAACCTCTCCAAGGAGTAGGTTTCAATTGCAACAGTAGATTGTACTGCCAGAGGGCTGTCTATGGCTGAGAAGGAAATTCGTTAATGGAAATGAAGGTAATCTGTGTTGGAGAACACCACAGAAGAGAAATGTGCTAGTATTAAGAAATCTTTCATGTTTCAGTCTTTCTCTTTTGAATTAAAACAAGTCCTTGATTGTTTTTTTTTGCCTCATGATGATTTCAGTGCACCTATGTGAAATTTGCAGATTGCGTTGGTGTGGCTGATAAAGTACATTGCTGTAGACAATGGCATCCCCAGAATAATGATCCAGAATCCCTTCTGATGATGACTGTGAAATTCAGTCTCCATTTTTCCTTGCCATTATTACTTTATCCTGTGAAATAATGAGTTCTTTGTGGTGAATACCCTTTTTCATGAACACACCAGAAACAGATCTTTACAAGATGGTTTGCCATCCCAGTCAAACATATCTTTTCAGTTTAGCATACTATACAATTAGTAGTCTCTATGTAGGGAAGCAAGTGGCAAAGTGTAAGTATCCTCTTTTTGGGGTGATACTGGGGACTGCTTTGTCATGCAAAGAGGGCCCAAAAACCAGTTTATGAGATTCCAATCAGAGAAGCAATGACTGCAGGTGAAAAAGTTTTGCATTTGAATGAACGTATTTTCAGCCTGGAATTTGGTTACAGAAAGGTTAATCTGTCATTCTAATGGAGAAGAATGTGTGAAAATATTGGACCATTTCTGAATAGACAAATACCCTCATCTGTGTGTAAATTTACAGGTTTTGTTGGAAAGGGTTTTTGGGGTGGGGCGTTGGTTTTTTTTCCTGTTCAGGAGCTTGGAGAGGCAGCACTGAGGGTAATATATACAAGTACTAGTACTAAAAGTCTGTGTGAAAAATATTTGAATCAGGAGGAAAAAGAAAGAGAAGTACATTTAACTTTTATGAAGTTGAAAAGATAAAAACAGAGTTTAAAATTAAAAAAAAAAAAGTGCAATACATTACTTTAATATCTGTTTATTTAGGGAACAGGTCTATAGCGTTGTTTAATATATTTTCTTCACTCAAATGTGAGGGGGGAAACGGTAGTGTTGGTTACCTTGAGGTACCCTAACAACAATAATATAGCTGCCATGTACACCTGTGTGCTTGACAGTGCGCTGGTTTTGCACTTGATTAAACTATCATGTTGACAGGAGAAAAATGGATCCACTTTATTGCAGACTGTCATACATACTTTGCCTTCCAGCCTCTGTTATTCTAGCTAAGTGAAATGTATCAAATCTCTTAACTGTGCCTGTCACTGGAAAAATAATAAATAAATATGAGAATACAGTTTTAATTAAAAAATTTCTGAATACTCCTCCCAACTTTCCATATACACTAATAACATTAAGAAGACATTTGTAATTGTTACAATGAAAATGTTCCAAGGAACTTTTAGAAACAGATATTGCATCCTTCTCTCTTTGTACGTGATACTTTCCTTATGTACATGATACCTTCCAAATACTGATATTCCTTAGCTGAAGAATAATCATTTAAGTCCAAATTCTTATCCGTTTCTGTTATGGCAAGATAAAGTTTCCTCATAGCTTGAAAAATGACTGTCTGAGAATGTTATCAAGGCAGACCCCTCTCTTCTTGTCATACAAACTTTCACTACATGGCAGTCCAGTAGGGACAGATGATAAGAAAGTGGATGACGTGCCACATCCTACTGATTTCTGGATACTTCAAAACTATTTGCAGTGTTACAGACTGCCACAGATTACAGTTGCCCTTATATAATGAACAATGTGAATTTCCCTGCTGAGGGGCACCTAAAAGCTAAAGCTCTCTTTAATTCTGCTGAGTGATGCTCTGACACAGGTGTATAACTGAGTTGCTTTGACATTAATTTAGCTCACTGTTCTTTCTGATGCTTTGAGACTGCAACAAAGAGGAATGTTTTACCACACAGTTGTCCTCAATATTCTGCGAAGCGACTGTTAGCAGCTAAGCAAAGTGACATCTGTACATGTGGCAATTGTCTTTAGTCTGAAGCTATTTCTTTTAAATATAAGCCTGAGGGCCTGAATCATCATTTCACTGCATCTTGCCAGTTGCAGGGTATTATTTTTACACTCATTTTTTACTAATGGAAATAGCTACTGAAATGAAAGATACTGAAATACTAAACTATGTTATCAAGTACCATTTTTGTACATTTTTGTTCTGGGTTTGTGTTTGTTTCTTTTTTTCTCTACACTAATTTGAGATCTCTGAGAATTCAAAAAAAAAACCCCAACATTGTCTGACTCAACATTGAAAGCTTTCTAGTGTCACTTCCATTGACTGAATTCAATTTTTCATTGGAACTTAATTATTTGAAATAGTAAAGTTACTTAGATTTCTTTCTGTGTGAAACTAAATTGTTTAAATGTAGACATCTAATGTCATCTTTATTCTCTAAGCCATCCCACCTGGGCTCCAGTTACTCCTCCAGATCAGGGCATGACTTTCCATAAGTTCTATGGCATGTCCATGAAGCCCATTCATATGTCCTGAATATGCAAGGACAGCTAAAATAACACTAGATAACTAAGTTAATTTAAATTTAATGTAGCTGCCTTTTCCATTTTGTCTCACTCTTACCTGCACAAGTAATACTTAGCATTATCTTTACTTGTCTGGAATAAAGAGAGCAACGAAACAAATATGTTGTCACCAGATTTACTCTTCCTAACCCTCCTAAATACACAGGTTTTCTGAACTAAATTATTCTCAATCATAGAAAGAGGAAGTAGTACTTGTCCTCTAATAACTGACATTTTGATTTTTGGAAGCCAACAAGTTTGACTTCTATAGCAAATTGATGACATCTCAAAAATATTAGTAAGGAGGTTTTGTTAAGAGAGACAGCACATGGTCAGATCTCAAATTACAGAAATTAGTATAGCACCATCAAAGTCATGATCTCTATGCAAATTTGAAAGAACTGAGAATCTGACTTTCGTATGTAGTATAGGAAAATTTTCTCTCAGAAACATATGTACAAAGAGTATGAAGAACTCACATTTGTATATACAAATAGGTAAGACATCAACAGGAAGCTGAACTAAAGAATATAGCTTTTTACTTTGAGTTTATCAAGTCTTCAATGCTAAGTTTAGCATACATATGTAGACATGTAGTAATTAAGCTGATCCTTTTCTTTACGAATAGAAATTAGGGGGAAAAAAGTTCATGCATAGTCAGTTTATAAAACATTTGCTTAGAGGAAGATAAATGCAGGTCAGAATTTATGTTTTGGCACCATGTCAGTCATGCACAGAAATTGAACAGCCTTACTGCACTCTGGACAAGATGCTTCTGTTCACATGACAAGAGTGAGAAGCATTGTGTTTAATTCCCAAACAGTTCTAAACTTGTGCATGCAGAAGTTGCTGCCTTCTTTAAAAAAGTGACCTTTAAGAAAAAGACATTTAAAAAACTCTTTATTTCTTTTTCATTTTTTAGAGAGCAGTTCCTTGAATTACTTGAAAGGCAGCCAGGAATAAGCTTTTGCTTTTCTTGTGAGTTGAAAAAAAATACAAAATTATACAGAATAAATAGTAAATATAAATCTAACAAGAATTCATTGCAAAAATAAACCTGCAGTGTTCTACTTATTTTACCTATTTTTCCAACAACACTTTATTTTCTTCTAATTTCAGAAAATATAACATATATTTGTACAAACATCTAAATACTATTACTCTTTCTCATGTGTGTGTATTGTAGTAATTCTGTCTGGAAGTTGCTTTTGGGTAGGGTGGGAAAGGACCTGTATTTGCACTTGGAATTTCCTAGCCACAGCAAACTCATTTCCTCCAAGAATATTTAAAGCCAGCACGAAGTTATTAATACAGATAAAGAGATACATAAAAAAAGTCAAACTTATTAAACACATTAAGTATTTACAGCTGATTCTCAGTAGCTTTTCAAATTGCCCAGGATTATGAGTTGAAACACCAGTGATGAACAATATTTTATAGCAGCAGCTCAAGAAAAGATTGTCCAAACTTAGGTAAAGCTATCAGATAGGGAAAGTAGCAAAAGGCTTGATTTTTTCATCATTGAAGTTGTGGGTAAACATAGTTACATATTTTTCCTTCCGCATACTGATACTGAATGCACATGATGAAGTTCTATGTAAATATTTGCAGGCTCTGGGTGCATACACAAAAATATTTGCTTTTTTTTAAGTTTTGATTTATTTTGGGTTTTTTTTTGTTTGTTTTTTTGTTTTTTTTTTTAACTGACATTTAGTATGACAACATTTCAACTCCTTTCATATTTATTATAAGGTGTAGGTGTAGACAATGGTCATGTATGCAGTGCATGTACTAACCTAACCAATGTATTCTAACATTATAACTACAAACACAAGTGTTTCTTTTTAAAAAGAATCTAATTAAACTGAGTGAAAAAAAAAAATTAAAGGTAAGAAACATTTTTTCAATAGATTGGGTACAGAATGGAGAGTGCCACACACACCTTTTTAAAATGCTGAGGAATATTACTATAAGCAATCTTCCTTCCACAGTTCAGTCACACAAAGTCCATGTTTAACTTGGGGTAGCACATATTGCCTGCGCATTACCCCATGGCTTCCCACAGTGATCCCTGAGTTTTTTTTGCTAGGATTACTGCTGTGCTTAAGTTCTGACTGTTGACATGTTATTATAAGGCACTTCGATTCACATTTCCAACTTGAAATATAATTACGGAAATTCGGCCCCAGCCCAACGTATTATCACTTCATGTTTGCTGCTCCAGGACTTCCAAGTAGTCAGGCTCAGCATGTAAATTAGCTTTGAGTTCAAAATACTCATTTTTAGTTTGTTCCAGAAAAACCTTTCTTGGCCTGGAGTACATGAGTGTCTCCATTAGCTTCAGCTCCTCATGTGTTCCAGGGTAACAAACTTCCATGTCAGGCTGGAGTTGGACAATATTTTTTCTTAGGTACTCTGTGATCCCTAGTTGCTGCAGTTCTCTCTCTTTTTCAAGAATGTTTCTATACAAGCAGCTAGCATCCTGAAAAGACAGAAATTCAGCCGATTGATCAGTAGCCTTATATTTGACATTTGAACCTGTAAGAGGTGAACTGTTCTCTCTTTCTAGGAGACTTCGGCAGAGATGTTTGGAATCGCTAGCTTCCTTCTCACTTCCCTCCTCCTGTTGTTCCATATGCTTGGGGCTGAAGGATGGGCTGCGGTAGACCTGAACCATGGGAGTAACCATACGTTGCTCATAGAGAGTTGCAGCTGGGCGCTCTGTTGTGTGGTGTGTTGTCTTATGCCCATACATGCTGTACTGAAGGTGAACTGGGCTACTATCCCGCATTTGTTCATCCGCTTGTTTCTTTTTGCATCTTCGTCTCCGATGCAAAACAAGAACAA